CAAGGAACACAAACCAGCCTGGTTGAGTACTGGGGTCAGAAAAACCATCTCAAGTGCCATCGTGGAACATCTCGTACATACGGGGCATATTGCGAATGACGATGCCTTCAAGATGATCTACTGGGTGCCTCTTTTTCCGTCTAAGGCTGTTCGTCAACAACATTTAGCAAGAGCTGAGGCAGTGGCTATCCATTTGTTTAAGCCATCACTTTGTTCCCAAAAGCGATTTGTTAAAGCACTTCAGCTACCACGGCCACATACTGAATTCAATCGCTTGATTATAACTGACCAGTTCCATGACTCCTTGACCCTGTGCCCCAAACAGGTGATGGTTAACCTCAACTCTGTCCTAACACTCATGTGACACATCCCTACTCCCATCCACCCTCGACCGCAATTTTTTTTTGTAAACCGCACACAATCGAATAATTATATCTACCAATGCAATCCACACACACACACACTTCACACATTATGCAAATGTGATATGTCTATTACTTATTTAAATCACTGTATTAGCCAGATGAGGATGTTATCGAAAATGAGCTTGTTCGATATTTCGTGATTTCTCAAATGTTACAATGGGAATCTTCAATGAACAGTAGCAGCAGCAGCAACAACAACAACAAACCTACTTCGCCCATTCCATCTCGTTCGACCACAATATCCATGTCTGGAACATCTGCGAGTTTAACCTGAACTCCAACATTCAAAGCTCCCGCAGTTCCCGTGCTCTGATCTCCCACCAGACTGGTACAGACAACGCCACCGGCTTCGGTGGATCCGTATCCTTCGATCACCTTTTTATGAAGACGATAAAAATTTTGAAAAAAAGAAACGAAAGTGAGAGTAGAACTGAAGATAAATAAACAAATAATAAAATGATGTTATAACTCGTTTTTGCAGCAGTGGTAAGGCAGTGAAGCTCGCCAAATTATCACACTTTACATAATCTGTTGTTATCTTATGATAGCTCTTTGATCGGTCGCTATTGTTTGCTGAAAACAAAATTTACAAGAAGGTGAAATACAAAAAGATAATTAGAAAATTATCCAACAAAATGACAAAAGGAAATCACCATGCGATCTGTTAGGAAAGTAAAATAGGGTGAATGTTTTTCGATGCGCAATTTCTGAACCAATGCCCGAAGATATTAATTGGGCCTGTTCAAAATAAAACCAATCCAACAAAGAAAACTTACTCCGTGCACTCAGTGTATCACTTTCACATGTGATCCGGAAATAATTAAATTTTCATATTTCTCAATCAGTTTCTGATTAGGCTTCAGTAGGTTTTGATTCAGAGAACCGTGTAATAAAACGCCACCTTAATTAAAAGCAATGGTCGAGTTTTTAACGTTCAATGCATCTTCCAAAAAACCCCGGATGATGACTGCGATTAATATTTACAGCGGATGATATTAATGACAAGTTGGTTCGTGTTTAAGAAACGCTGTGAAGAATAGTGGTTTTCAGTGAAAACTTACTACCTTCACTTAAATTATTCGTGTGTACACGTCTCGAAAGGCTACCGTTTTTAGCTGGATGTCACTAAAAGTATGTGATAGAGATGTGAGAATTAGGAGGATGATTTCTGTTAGCAACGATATTTATTACCGACCATTGGAATAAAGGTAAATTGCTGTTATTAATTTTACGAATTAAAATTTGTTAGCTAAATTTACAAGCACAAGGATAAACCACTGATCCAAGGGAACATCAGCTACAATGGCTTCGACCTGAAGGTAGTGAGATCGTTTGTAGTTCGGTTCGTCGACCAGAAAGCAGGAAAATTGATGAAATACGCTCGTCTATATGGGTTCAAGCAATGACTCAACCTCATTTCATTTTGAACGCCGGGCAACAATGGATCCTATTCGCATCCACGACCAAATCTATAATATTGGATGATAGCGGTTAGTTGGTCTATTTTTCTATCTTTTGGGCTTTATGATTCGAGGTCCCGAACCCTACGGTTAAACTTTGTGGTTTTAAGCTTCTCTATCTGTTGGAAAATATGTGGAATGACTGTAGCCCGGGATGCGGATGTTGATATTGGTGAGGTCTCCGAGCGGGAAGTGCTGTTCGCAGACGTTTCATAGCCAAGCTAGACACTAGCTTGGTTACGAAACATCTGCGAGCAACACTTCCAGGTGGAAAAACTCACCAACATCAACAAGCTTCTCTATCGTTCGGCTCGACAGCCAGCATATCCTTTTGCGATGTCATACGGTTCTCCAATCCAAGCCCATCCACCCCCCACCCCCGCGGCTATGATGGTTAATTATCATATGTGAGGCTTTGGTTCAACCCTTCTGCCGTTCATCACACGCGGGTAATGAGTAACAAAACGCGTTATGAATTCGTCCAGACACACCAAAGCCATGAGAAAGACAGAAATATCTCCCTATATATATGATTTGGTGATGATGATGATGGTCACATATGCATTACCCAGCCCTGTGATTGTGCGAATGGTTATATCCCAGTGCGCAAATTAACATAACCCCGCAACGACAAAGCGTTTATCAGACACACTTCTACCCTGATTAAACCAGGATAGTCCTTATTTAACCCGCATTCTCGTATTCTAATGCACAATTTTGACAATAAAGGAGTCGACATTCTAGGCCAGCCGAGATTTTGCTTTTTTATGTCAAAACTCACCACCAAACTGGGAAGGCACCAATCCGTGTGCTGGATTTCGAATATTTTTACCGTTCTACGTACTTCTCTGGGTGCAAATAAATGATGTGATTCAGGTAGAGAACATGACAATCACGCTCAAAAATGGCGATGAACCTAAGAAGAAAAAACGTTTAAAATCTAAATTGTCAATTTTTGTAAATGAACCAGACTTCTTGACGATTCGTTTATTGGGAGAAGTCTAAGTTTGAAGCTACCTCGTCCCCTCAATCTCAACAGACATGAAGCGAAATTTCATTTTTCGCTTAAGTGCATGTATTTTCTTTTCATTTATTTTCCAAATGGAGTTTCAGGGTTAATAATCAAAAGTTCACTTCGTTAATAGACGAATACTATGTCATTGAGTATGCGAATCGGGTACCGTATTGAGCCATTATGAACCTGGAATTATTCAAAAGATGTTTTAAATCATTTGAAATGTAAATGGGATTGATTCAAGGCAGAGTGTAAAATATTAAAAAGACTACTCATTTGAGCTGGGTGGCTGTACACGATCCAAAGATGTACCTAGTTGTGAACAGACTGGTTTCTATGCGACTACTGTGATGTGACTAAAACTCCTAACACTTGCAGTTCAGTGAGCATAAGGGTTTTGGCCAAATCGATCAGCTGATTTCGGGCTGTTAAGAACCCATCAGAAACAAGGACAATAATGCGGTGTCGATTGCCGCTTGTGTGTGTAAGTGTACCCTTGAGTGCCGTAGGTAGTAGTTGAAGTGATTTTTATTCATTCAAGCGACACATTCAAAGAATCAAGAGGTTCTTGTGTGAGTAGAATTAATCATCTGGTCCGTGCGTTCAATCCCTTAGGTGTGACTAAAACTGATTGAAAAATTCGATACCATTTCGCATTTCTATTAACCGAGCACAACATGATGCCCAAGTTCAAAAATGTTTTCCACGAAGTCACTCTTTTTACTTTACTTTACTGAGGCTGGATCCTTGGAAAGAATAAATCGACTCCAGACATGATTGTGATCATGATCACGAAGTTCCTTGGGAGTTTTGTACGAGAGACGTCAACAGCGTCACTCGGCATTTTATTATTTTGAGGGAGTAACGCTAGCATTTGCAAAACAAGTGCGAACTGCAAGACAGCATGAAACAATCCTTCGGAGGGCTCAATGACTTTAGTTTTTAAAGGCCAGTCACATCGACCTTTGTCATGATAGCGTCATTGGGCTTATATGGCTTTTAAACAGGAGCCAGTTGACCAGCCTGAAACCCACCACATCTTGGTAGTGCCGCCGCTGTTTGTTCGCGACTGCTTACTTGTTGTGGTATGCCACAACTTATTCACAGTTAACCATCTTCTGTGGAGGTATCCTTCTATCCATAACCCGGGGACGCGCCTGGTAACATTCAACTCTGCTTAACTCGAGAGCATCCGGATCAAAGTCACAGCCCTGAAACAAATCCTGGGATGCACCACAACAAGCTTGCAAAACCAGATGGTGTTATACGTCATGTATGGGTAAAGTGAAACAGTCTGGTCAACCGCCGGTAATCAAGTGGGCAGTTTGTTTTTTTGTTCCGCTTGTGAAGTCTTGGGCTCGATCGTCAGTACAGTCAACCAATTCACACTTCTGACAAGACACAAGATGGTTGAAGTAGTTGAACAACTTTTAATTTGAAGTTTTCATCGTTTTTCATACGATGGAGCTCATCATAAAATGTTCGAAATGATGAAAGTTAATCGTGTGTAATGAAAAAATGCTTTGTCAGAAAACACAGATGTCCGGAAGAGGTGCAACCGGATGCATTTTGCCCGGAAACGTAAGGAGAGAACCGTTTCCAGCTTAGTCTCAGTCATCAGTGTGGCAGCATAATAGAATTTCCTGAATTGTTGTATGGGAATCTAATAAGAAAAAAGCGATTCGACTGGATACTTATTTAGACTCATTGGGCTTATTTTACACTACATCTGCTGCATGTATATACACGATTTTCACAATAGATAGTATGTTAATGATTCGATAACATTCATCTGGAAGAACACGGCCGGCTTCGCGATTATTACTGGGTCCAAATTGTGGGCTTATTATTTACCATCAAGAACTCATAACGTGTAGTTACTCAGTTAAAATTGCCTCGTAACTTTTAATCATTCATAGTGCCCCAAGTGTTCGCCAATATTTTGAGATCTGGACTGAATACAGGCGGCGCCAATACTTCAGCACCATAGAACAATAACCAGTTTAGAGGGAATAGTAACTGTTGGATTGGGAACCAAACCACTCAATTTGCGCTTGTCTTTCACTACCTTTTCCCCCTTTTTTATAATTATCTAACACATAACGTTGTAACGTCCTTGGAATTTTGTCATTCCGGTCGAATGTTAGTCGTGTTCATGTCTCACTGGACCTTTTGGTTCATGGTGTCTGCATTTTCCTCTCTTTCAGATTGTCAGTTCGCCCTCTCCACAGACAACATCCTGTCTGTCGACGGTTCCAGCCCACACCTTGACTAGGCCCACTTGGGGTTGTCTGGTGTATCCGTTCACGTGGGACATCCTGGTGCACACACGAGCCAAGCATGTCACATATTTGGCGACCCTGCCAGGATGCACTCCTCCCATAGCATCGGGCTCCGGAACACTGAGGACAGTGTTCTTTCGTGGGGAGGGATAGTATAACGACCTTGCAAACTTGTCGAGGACGACACTTTCGGGAGAAAGGGATAGTATTGTGTATAGCCGAAACTGACTGAGGCCCAGTAATTGAATGTCGAACTGTCGTTGTATTGCAACCATTTCATATTCTTATAGTGTTGCTACGTTTTGCACCAATATAATTTCGCCCGAATCCGTCGTCTATCCCGGACAGAAACACACTAAAACGTTCAACAGTTTCATTATTTGGCTGTCACGTGCTCTCCATACTCCATTGGGTGAAACGTTCGGATTGACTCTCCCACAACACCAAAAGTATCTAACAACGAGCAATGCTGATGACCCATTGCTTACGGCAGCTTCTTATCGAACTTGCAAGTCACTGATCAGAACAGAATTCAGGTTAAAATGTTTGCATTTTGATCGAAGCAACTTCCCGTCACACGAATCGGCTCTAGAGCGAGCTCACTCGCGATTCGCGAGGGTCCGAAGCAGAAGAACCGTTTTAGACATGAGCTAAACGCGTGTAAAGAATACTG